AAAACCCATATTTTCGGTGTCCTCTGAATTATAGGATCGCGCGATTGAGTTAAGCCTTTGATTCAATGGCACTCTTCGCTCACTGCCACTCATTTTGGCCAAACTTTCCTTCAATCGATCGGTCGATGTGTTGGCCGCCGGACACGACTCGTTGGACTCAATGTTTCTCATGTTGTCATTCGTCAAAGCGGTCACCGATTTGGCCACAATTGGGGTCACATTTGGTGTCAAATGAGGGATCAAATTAGGCATCAATTTTGGGACCAAATCTGAATCTAAATCCAAGGACTGGTCAGCAGTGGCCGAGTCGGACAACCCGTCACTCTGTGCCCCGTCTGACAAGTGGTCACTCGTATGAAAACTGGTCTCAAGAAGTGCCTGTCGTTCGCGGTTTCGTTGGATAAGTGACTACAAATGTTTCAATTGTGAGACAATACAAGACATTAATGTCGGCATTGGATCAACAAATGAGTGGCAAAACAAGTGTCAAAAGCACACAAACCTCAGTGAATGAGTCGAGCTCTTCGTAATCGTCCATCGGATCAGTTAATAGTGATGTGAAGACAATTACAAAATAGATGAATGAATGAGTGAATCGTAAAGTGAGAGTCAATTCACAAATCGTTTCAAACAATACTTTCTCTCAAAAAGTCAGTCAATTTTGATGCAAGCGTTGGGCAAACCGTTTGAAATGCATTCAAACGCTCTGTGATTGGCCCAAACGCTCCTACTATCTCATCGATCGGCCAATCAGTGCATTCTATTCTCACATCCCTTTAAACGTTCAAAACATTGTGTCAACTGTTAGTCAACTGTTTTTATGAATGAATTTCATTACACATTAGGTTATTGTGAATGAGTTGTAAAAAACCAATTGATTCACACAATTGTACTGATTGTGAGATAATTGGTGTTAACAGTTAGGTCTTGGGATCAGTTGACCCACTAATGGCTGTCATATCGCGAGGACTGTATCTGTCGGTCACGTCTGGAGCGTTGGCGGCGACGGCCTCTGTGTTCGGCAAACTAGCGATGAGTCCATCCATTTGTTGCCATCTCTTCAACGCTTGGTATCAATTGATTGGTGTCTTAAACGATGGCAACAATTGGTGCCACTCTTCGCACACATCACTCGTATGTCAATTAAGACACGGATTGTCGGCCAAAAAGAGTAATTTAATTGAGATCTGGTTTGCATTGAATAGATGTTGCGCTCATTCCAAGCGGTGATGTTTGTGGCGATGATTATCACAAACCTCTTAATGTGGATTCAATTCACGAAAGCACTCAAAGAGTACACCAATTCATTGCATGTGATTGTTGTCAACACTTCCACTAACTTTTTTCTCACTGTAAATGACTTTTAACTATTAATTATCACTTTATTTAACACTTCGTTTATTTTCCATACATTTGAAGGCATTTTACGGATCAGTATTTTTCTCAGAGGTCTTGTCGACCATTTGGTGGATCGGATCCACTCTTATAGTCATCGGACTCTTGATTATGAAGACTTCGAGTCAATTAAATGATGATAAAAAAGATGTTTAAATTAGAGTTTATATGATTTTACTTGTTTTTAGAGAGAGAGAGAGAGAGAGAGAGAGAGAGAGAGAGAGAATGCCAATTATGTGCCATAAGATAAAATAATTAATAAATTATATAATTAATTGATAATTTGAACTAAAATTGCTCATCACTTGAGATATACATATTTGTTATATTGTTTTGTTAAAGTTTTATTATTATTTTTAATTAACGGACAAATAAATTATAACTTTTAACTGTCAGCAGATGTGTTGTGCAATATTTAATTGATTGCAACATTGAATTCGCAATAATTGGTACTATATTTTAAATTTTATGTATACTTTCATTAAAAATTTAGTTAATTTTTTTGTAATTTAATAATTATAAAAATTACTGAAAGTTTCTAAAATATTTATTAGTGAATGTCAGAGATATATATTTTTGGTTCAAAAACAATAATTGACTTTTAAAATGATTGTAAAAGTTTTATTACATCTAAAGTCTATAAATAATAAGCTTTAAAACATTTGCTATTGATTTGAATTAATTTAAATTGAATTATAGTTTAATATAATGTGAGTCAAGAAAATGTTATAACTTTTTGTTGTTATAATGAATACATTTTGTCTAAAAATAAGACCCATTCCTCAGAAGACATATGACTGAAGAATCTTTTCTTTACTATTCATTACATTTGGAATTCAAATGTCTATTAAATAAGAAATATATTTAATGGATATATTATATATCATATATAGATCAAGTCCTTCGAGACTTTCACAAGAATATGTAACTTATATTTAGATATTATACATTTACCGGTGTTAAGGTTGGTAATATGCAAAGCTTGTATCCTACAATTGTATTATTCCTTGTACTATTCATTGTTCAAAGCAAGATTGCCTTTTTTGTATAATACAAAAATTTATAACACCACAAATTTTCCAAACATTTTAAACGCCTCACAAAACACTATAAATTGTTTTGTATTTAAAATGTATTTATTTAGTTTGAAATAATTATTGTTTTAAAATGAGTGAATCTAAACGAAAATCAATTGTTTGATACTCTTTTACAAATACCGCTTTAAAAATAATTGAATCAATCGTCAAATGTGAAACAAATAATGATTAGAATGCTATAACATGTATAGTTAATGAGATAAATGTATTAAAATTGGATAATTTTTGTTTTTAAATATGCTAATTTTGTCCCTATAGTTAGTAAAAATACTTGTATAATACAATGATTTTTGTATTATAATATTTATTACACTGTACAGTATAATACAAAACTTTTTTTTAAAAACGTTGTATTTTGTCAACCCTAACCGATATAAATATATAATATTTAATCATTTTTCCATTTCACGACTCGATTTACTTTTTTCATTCATTCATAGGTTTTTATGTTTTTGTTTTTTATTGTTAGAAAAAATCTTTGATACGAAAATAAATCATTTATTAAAATGAAATAAAGAATTTTTTATTTAGTTATTTGTAAACAATTTGCTGAACATTTACAACAAATACTATTATAATCAATATTTATGTTATCTTTACTATATTTATGAAATTATTTAAATAGTTTATCATATTATTGTCCATACGATCTGAAATATTATAATTATAATAAATAGAGAATTTAAAAATTACTTTGTACTGTATATCAATTTGTAAAACATGATAAGTTGTGATTAATTGAATGATAACATGATTTGATTTTGCGTTACAACATATGTGTGACATAGAGTGGTGTCAAACACGAGACCCAAAGCACGTCCACTTTATTTGCCATATAATTGAGTCTTAAAGCCATCACTTTTAATGCCAAACCAATCACTCAATTAGTCGTTTAATCCATGAACTCATTTCCAATCGTGTTATCACTTGTCTTCAAATGTAGAATATTTCCAAAATATAGGTTTAAAACATTTTTAATGAAAAAAAATTCCAAAATATGTTAGGAATTTGATAAGAAAGTCAATTTCGTTATTGTATTTGATGTATAAATAAGAAAAGTATTTCAATTTGAAAATTTTATATATATATTTAGGCATTATTTACTAAAATAGTTAAGTCTTATACTTTAAAAAATTTATTAAGTAATCTCTCTAACTTTACATTTATTTTACATAATATTAGATTATTTTTATTAATAAACTATATGGAGCTGGATTATTATTTTTACCGGTACAAATTCTTTGAATCATAAGTTAAAATTGGATTAAAATCTCCTGACATTAGCTTTTAACAAAATTTGCATTAAAAATATTTTTAAATAGTATTACACTTTGAATCAAAGGAAAATTTATAACGATTTTATACATGAAAATACTTTTTTAAGTATTTTATTTTTGAGATTTAAATGTTATTCGATGTACTTTTTAAAGCTTGATGTGAAAGATAAAATGTAAAATAAAATGTTTTGATATATTTTCTTATGGATATAAAAGTGTTTGATACAAATTAATATTTTGGAATTACTATCAAAATTGATAAGCAATTTATATTCTGTACGGAATTGTATTCACTTATTCAGTAAATAATATAATAAGTTAATGACATTTGTGTTACATATTTGCTATACAATCAAATGTCATCTAAAATGTTATTTAAGAATAACACTATAAATAACAGTTTAAATGTCAGATAATTTGTCTTACATTATATTGCAGTTATTATTGTGAAAACTAGACAAAAACGTAATGATATTAATAACAATACACTATTGTTTGGAAAAGTTTAAGCAGAATTTACTTTCTATTGTGAAATGCTATTCAATATTATTTTTGCATAAATACTGAGAATCAGTGCGAATCCGAGTTATAATAAATGTTTTAAAATGTTTTGTAACAATACAAATATAGGATAAAAATGTACTTGTATTGAATCTAATTGTTTTAATACATTTGATATTAAACATAACAAAGTGACCGTTAATTCAAAAATATAATTGTCTAGACTTTCATATGTCTCTCATGTGCGATGAAATTCATATTTTTCTTACAATAATGTCTTTACTTATAATAATATTATTGAAATAATAACGCTATGAATATATGAATAAATAGACAATTATGTCCAGACTTGTGCTTTTAATCTTTTATTTAAATAAAAACCAAATTCTGTGCCATTAATGGTAAACATTTGCAAAGTTGTAGATTGACCCTGACTAAAATGATAAAACATTATATTCTGGTTAATTAAATAGTTGTAAACTAATACTTAATATATTGCTTGCTTTTTCATTGCTTAATTGTAATTAAAAAATTTAATGTAGAAAATATTTACATTAATGGATTGATATTATCAAATGTGTTCGTATAATGTTTACAGTGATAAGGTTTAGCCCTCACTAATGCATTTAATGCATGTTTTAATGGAAAATTTTTATTAAGAAAGTAGCAGTGAATTGATAATCAACCAAAATAATAAACACAATGTTAAAACATGTATTAAATTTACTTTTGAACCAATAGTTTGTGAGATTTCATATCAATAGGTATTGTTTAATATCATAATACTTTCTGAGATGTAAAAAAGTACTCAAACAGCAGTTCTGTCCGAATATTATGTATGAAAACTAAAACATATTGCTATTTAATTCTTACTTTATTATTAGCACATAGAATACACAATCCATTAATGTATTGTATCAACATTTTAACAATTCTTGTTGTATTCTTACATAATGTTTGTAAGTTTTTAATTCTAAATTATAGTTTCAAAGCTTATAAATTATATTTTACATTTTATACTATAACTTATTATTTTAACATAGAATTAAAGTTCAACTTACAAATAAAGTAACAAATTAATTAGCATACAAATGCGTATATAAACGTATATAAATGCTGCTTTTCTTAGAAAATATTATGCAAAAGTTGTAAAATTAACAATATTTAATATAATAACAGTTATTAATAAACTTTTAGCAATTTATCGGAAATTTATTTAAAAACTTATATTTGCATTTCATAAGTAATTGGAGTAAATTATATTAAATATTAATTACTCTTATTTTAATATCTAAAAGTAGAAATGATTTTAATGTTTCAAATTTCAAATAATTTATAATGATCATTCATTATTACCATCGAAACAAAGCTACTTTTTATGCTATTACAGATTCTGTATAATAGAAATTTAATTTAATAAATCCTATCATTAAATTTGTTTTAAATTACATTCAAATCCATTATATATTACACAACAATTTTTTAAATTTGATATGAATATTAAGTTTATTTTGGAAACTATTGTAGTCTATTGTATATTATTGTGAGAATAAATACAGTCAATACATGCCGTCAATTCATGTACAAATGTCAAACATAATTTACCATATGACATAATTTAATAGTGATACAACAGTGTTGTTATGTCTGGAAATGGTACACAATTTAAAATGCTACACAATAATTTACACATTTCTCAAAATTTAGAAATATTTTTATTTATAATTAATTTTATATAAATTTAGTAAATTTTTTTTGTTTAAAGTTATTTCAGTTTTAATTTCATTTGAATTTTTAAAACATTACAAGTTTTTAAATTTATATTTAACCATGTAATTTACAAACAATACTCTAAAAAACTTAAAATTTTATCAAATAATTTTAATTATTATAACCAGAATCAATGAATACTGCTATTAATTTACAATATTCTGTAATTTGCTATAAATATGCAACACTCTATACTTTATTGAATAGTTTATAAGTTATAATAAAACATTTACGAAAGCCTTTTGGAGTCAATATTTAGTTTGCGTCAACGATATTATGAAAATTCTAGGAATTTTATTGAAATTTTATGAAATTCATACTAACTTAATAATATAAATAATGAATTTACATTAAAAAAGATTTTACACCTTCACACGAGTTTTATTTTGCAACAAATTTATGAATATTAAATAAATAAAATTGAGTTCATGAATACAATACC